AGGACACTAGCAAGAAGTAAGTCAAACTCCGTTACATGGCATCGCTACTCTATGCTAGACATATTTCTCACTGCTATTACCCTTAGCATTCGAACCATTTATAAGGAATATTAATGATCACGATTATTAAATGATCATATTATCGCCTGGCATATCTGAGACAGCGACTTACCGACATCCCATTTGTCTGGTGAGTTTGTCGATAAAGCTAATTTGTGCTTGCGATAGCAAGCAACCACTAATTATTTAACGGTTTGGGTGGGTTTTCGTGACTGTCACTACATCTAATATAAGATCTGATAAAGTTAAAGCCTACTTATATCATTAGGAGAAAATTCAACTTCCAGACTTTCTTTAACTCAAACGAAACAGGCTGAAATTGACTGTTATATCAGCTCTGCTGATAGTCTCGAAAACCTCCCTTTAAACTTAAAATAAGTGATGGATTCTATTAGTATAGCAAATATACTTTTGCTTCGCCGACACTTATGCCACAACAATGTGATACCTAAAAGACTTAAGTTCTTTATAAATTTGATCTTTACCTTATGAACCAATAGCTATCATGTAGTGTGGCATAATAGCTAACGTGTCGAGACTATAAGTCATATTATCTGAGTTCTAGTCCAAATAGAGGTGCTGACTAGGACTATGCGAGGTCAAAACTGCAGTAAATCCTGGAAAATTATACATTTTGAGAAGCAATGCCATGTAGAACTCATTGAGAGAAAGAGGACTACTCATATCCTTTTGAAAGTAGTTGAAAAAATTCAACTACCAGGTGATAAGACTCCTATAACACATTTATACTAGATCAACATCAGCAGAGCTCTCGATTTGATCTATATAATAGTGACGTTTTTTATTGCTGTGAGATTTTAGCCTGAACCGTACTAAAGCAAGCCATTAACGTAAAATCATATAGAAAACTCAATTTCCAACTCTACACACATCGCAGCAAGCTTATAAGAAATTTAATTTTAAATAAGTATTTACTTAGTTTTCGAAACTTGCCATGATGAAAGAGTAGCCTTATATATTGTAAACAATCCTACCTATTTTCCCGATTTGTTCATAACCTTTGGTTCTACATTCTCAGAAGTTTTTTGGCACCGTAGTTGATAAAATTAGTGAAAGACCCAAGTCTTAGATATTGGGTTACAATTCATCATAGGGGCACGTGAAAGCAATCCCCTTGTAAAAATTTATGTTTTCACTTTTCGGAACCTATCAGCACTACATCTCTAGCTAGAAGCATTATAGCCTCGTCCTAAAACCCGCCTTCATATTAAAATTTTAATTATTAAAACCTCTATTTGACCTTATTTTTTCTAGTGCTTCTAAAGAATCTTACATCATTTATTTTTATGTAATCATAGTCACCGGTGTCGAATGCCTTTCGCAGGGCTCCTTGATCTTATTTGCTTTATCTATATTATGCCAGCTTATCTTTGTAAAACTTGGCAATTACTGTATTATCTAAATAACTGTTTATAATCCCTTAAACCTCGCCAGCGCTCCTGTTATATTCGAGTCCTCTAAAATCCGTTATCCCTCTGTCCGATATCCTCTTGCTTAACTTCGCTATGTGGCACCTACAAATGTCTACCTTTGCAACGATAGCGTGGTGATCTATACTTTATATTTAAACCATTTAATCAAGTAAAGCAGTTATTCCCAAAATGTGCACCGCGGCATCTGGGGCGCCGCGGTCTCTTTACAGGGGCTTCATAATTAATTTAACCCAGACACTTGGCCTAATTAAACCAAAACGTAAAAGAAAACGCTGCGTCTTCTCGATCGCGCCATATGATCGCACCAGACATGTCGAGGTGCGTTCAACCTTCGCGACAGATTTGGAATGTTCTGCAAGATCTTGCGGGAAGTATATAAGCAAGCGCTGCCGGCTCGATTCAGTCAGTCGACTAAAATTTGAGTCTAGTGAAGCTAAACTCAGCGCTTTATATATAAATAAACAC